GTGTGTGTGTGTGTGTGTGTGTGTGTTTGTGTGTGTGTGTGTGTGTGTGTGTGTGTGTGTGTGTGTGTGTGTGTGTGTGTGTGTGTGTGTGTGTGTGTGTGTGTCGACAAGACCGCACGCGTGGCGGCCAGGGGCGTCAGGCGCTGGCCAGGGGGACTGCTCGGGGGCGGATGCGTGGTGCGCAACCGAGCAGCAGCGGCCGGGCGAGCCGGGCCGCAGGCCGGCCTGCGCGCGGCGCCGCAGCACAATGTCCTGCGGTCCGCGGCCGCACCTGTGCCATCAGGGCCACGACTGCCGGGATGTCATACAGCCTAAGGCAGTAGTCTGTAAAGAAGGCCTCAAACGCGGCCTCGCCCCCAGCTGCAAGTGAAGAGCCCAGCGGCCGCGTGGCAGGTGCCGCCCACCGATGTCCGAGCTGTTGGTTGCCCTGCTGCTCGATCTGCGGGCCCGGGGGAACCCCATCCTGCGGCTCTTGCGGCGGCGGCGCGGCGCGGCGCCGCAGCAGCAGCGAGCGCGGCCGCGGGGGTGCTTCGCAGCCGGCGTCCGCCTCTGCCCCTGACGTCGAAGGGACGCCATCAATCATCACATCTGTCATGCACTACGCTTGCAAATTGGCAGCAAAGCGAAAGCAGCTGCGCCAGGCACTACAAGCGAGATTGGGTGTGTCTGTCAACAATGAGGCACTTCTGAACGGTACAGGCCCACAAATGTGGCAGGTATGCTGATATTCTTGTCTCTGCACGGAGTCCAGTCACGTATCGGTATGATCCCCCGCCAGGCTTGGGCTGGGCGGTCCGGTCGGGCGACTTGAACTGTATGAGAACACGCTTGATACAACAACCTACAATGTATGGTGGCCTTCGAGAGGGCTGGATCGCCAACGAGATCCCTCACGCTGTCCTGGTCAATCTGCTTGTGAAAGTGATCCCAACCCTCTGGTCCACCGTGCATCGGGCCATGCGGCAGGACAACATGCGCGGCGATCGCTTACAGCTGAAGCAGGCGCTCGACAGCCCCTGCGCTGGATGGCGCAAACCGCGCAGACGGCCTCGGCAGGTGCTGGCTGCCCGCGCCACTGCCTGGCCGGCTGCCGCTCCCCGGCCCCGCGCCCACAGCGACGTCCCCCCGCCGCCCCTGCCCGTGCCCCGCCGCCGCCGCCGCGCCGCAGCTGCTGCCGCCGTGCGCCTTGAGGTACACGAGGTACGCAGACAGCTCCGCCAGCCCGACCCTGCCCAGGCCGTCCCAGTTGATGGCTTGATACTGCGCCAGGAAGCGGTCAAACGAGCCGTCCGACGCCTGCGCGCGCACGCGCATGCAAGCCGGCGCGAGTGCCGGCATGGGCTCAGCGTTTGGGGGACGAGCGCCCCGCATGACGTTCCTGCATTTGTGCGACCTGTGCTCACGCGACGCACCAGCTTCGCTTGGTTGGCCAGCGCGAGGCCGGTGCGCCAGTCAATCTGTCATGGAGAACGAACACACACACACACACATACACACACACACACACACACACACGTGCGCACACAAATACACACATGCACATGCACATGCACATGCACATGCACATGCACATGCACACAAACACAAACACAAACACACACACACACACACACGCACACACACACACACGCACACACACACACACACATGCACACATGCACGCACACGCAGTCACACCTTGATCCTGGGAGGCATCCTCAGGTGGTCCGCCAGCTGCCTGTCCCGCCTGAACGCCACCAGCATGTCGCGCCGGCTGGCCGCGCCGTCGCCGTCTGCGTCGAGCGCGCGCAGCAGCGCCGCCCAGCGCGGCGTGTCTGGATGCGAGGGGTCTGGGCCGGGAGGGGGCCCCTCCTCGGGCACAGGCACCATGTGCTGGGCCTGCAGGGAAGCAGGAGCACATGCTTTCTGGTGTAGCCAGTAGGTTGGATCTTATTGTCTAATCATAGACAACTCGCTCAAGCGTAGGACCCGCTCGCGGGGCGCAGACGCCGGGGACGTCATCGTCAGTCAGCGACGACGATAACAGTACCGCGTCGGCTGTGCGTGCGGTCGCTGCACACCACTCCAGTGCTCGGCCGCAGTGCCCGGCCGTGAGCCGCGCACGACCCAAGACCTAGTACCTGCGGCAGCACGTGCAGGAAGAAGACGTCCACAGCCTCGCCCAGCGCCCCGGCTGCGAACCCTGGGCCCGCGACGGCTGGTCCAGCCGCAGCGGCGGCTCGCTCCGTCTGCGCCAGGCGCGCCCTGACCACGCAGCGCCGGCTGCGCGGCAGCACCACGTCCCCCGCAAACGCCGTCCCCGCTGCGACCCCTGCGCTGCCGTCAGCGCCAGCGGCCGCGTGCTCCGCCGCCAGCTCGGTCCAGCCGCAGCCGTCCGCGCCCACAGCCACGCCCTCGACGCGCGCCGCTGCACCTGCCGCACCAAACGCCACCTCGAACCGCTGCGGCCGGTCGGCCTCCAACACGACGCCCGGCGCGGGGCTGACCAGCTGGGCGGCGAGCGCGGCCGCCGCCGGCGCAGGGGCCGGCAGCGGCGCGGGCAGCGGGGGCTGCTGCGCCACGGCCGCGGCGCCGGTTTTGTCGGGTCCTGCCGCCGCCGCTGCTGCCGCTGCCGCCGCCGCTGCTGCTGCAGCTGCAGCTGCGGGTGATGGTGGCGGGGCCGCCACCTCAACAGCCACGCGCAGCACGTCTTCTTCCTCCCTCAAATCAATCTCCATCGGCGCCGCCAGCCCCTCCACCGTAAGCCGCAGCTCGCCCGGCGCCTCGGTCACGAGCTGCACGTGCGCCCGCCACACGCCCGGCGCCGGCGGCGCCAGCCAGAGTTCCTGCGCCTCGCGCCGCGGCGCGTCGGAAGCGAAGCGGGCGCCCGCCTCCGGCTGCACTCCTGCGATCGCGACCCTCTGTTGGAACACCAGAGGCGGCGGCGGCGCGGCGGCAGCTGTCTGGGCGTCGGCGGCGCAATCGCGTCCATCGCCCGCCGCCGCGGCGCGCGGTTGCTGCTGCTCCCGCCCCAGCGGCTGCCAGCGCGCGACCTCTTGACCGGAGCGAGGGTCCAGCAGCCGCGCGCGCAGCCACTGGCGGCGGGCTGGGGCCGCGGGGAACGCGACCAGCAGGCGCAGGGCCGGCAGGTAGCCCCCCTCCCTGCGCACGCGCATCCGCGTGTTGACCGCGCCGACAGGTTGATCGACGGGGTGTGTCACATCAGCTGCGCACGGCGTCCACGCAAGAGGCTCTCAACCGCAGCCACGGCAAAAGTGCAGGCCCCAGGGCGCGTGCGGACACACGGCCGCGCGCGTCCGTTCTCTAAGATGTACGAGTTTTGCAGCGCCAGCGAGGCTGGTCAAGGCTGCCCGAATTTCGACCTCTCGATGAGTCGACGCAACTCGTGGGGCGCGCACCTGGGTGGCTGCAGCGTGTTTGAAGCTCGAAGGCCCGCGTCCAGCAGCGCCCCGCCCGCCTCGAAAAACGCGACCGCCGCCTCTGGCCGCGCCCAGAAGTCGTTGGGCGTGAGGGGGGCCGGGAGCAGCTGCCAGTAAGGCTCGAACGGCAGGCGCGAGTATGCAAAGGCCTCCGGCGGCGTGAAGAATGGCGCGGCGCCGCACCTGTGGCACACGCGCCACGCGCCGCGTCGCAGTGCGGCGGGGTGGGTGGAGGGCAGGGGTGCTCGTGTGAGGCAGCCGCGGGCGAAACATGTAGGTTGACAGTGTGCAGGAATGCAGTGCCCGGGCGAGAAAATAGATGTGTCATTCGAGAATCAAGGGGACGACGAGCGTGCTTTGGCAAATGCACACGTGGGCGGCCAGGATCAGCGGGCAAGCAGCAGCAGCAGGCTCGTCCCTCAGAGCACATTAGCATCTATCACAACCACACACACAGGCATCCTAAACACACACGAGCTTCAAAGCGGCCTTCTGGCGTGACACAGTCGCCCACCTCACAACCGCGTGGGCCGGGTCCAGCAGCCGCCAGCGCCCGTTGACTTTGACTGCACACCAGCTGTGGTTGTGGCATCGTAGCCGCCCCCCAGGCGCCACGCTGGCGCCGTCCTTCCAGAACCCAGAGATCTGGCGCGCCTCCAGCCCGCAGCCGGCTGCGATCGTCACCAGCAGCGCAGCCACGCGCTCCGACCACGTGCCGGTGACGCCGGGCAGCAGGGCCTGCGTGTGTGCGTGCGTCCAGCCCGGCAGGGCGCGCAGGCGTCCGGCGGCGGCCGTGCGGCGCGGCGGAGGGGGAGGGCCGTCGTTAAGGCCAATAGCAACGCGTGGCGCACCGGGCGCACAACGCCTCGATTTGCTTTGTCAGCTGCTGCTGCTGCTGCTGCTGCTGCTGCTGCTGCTGGCTGTCATGTTGCCAACGAGGTCATCCCCGGAAAAAAATGAGGAGATTCTCTCATAAGCGGCTGCAACGAAAGGGTCCGCGACTGCACCCGGACGGTCAACGCACGAAATGACGCGGTGCCGCTCTCACCTGCTCAAGCTCCTTGGCCGCTGCCGCGTCTCCGCCCTCAAACAGCGGGCATCCTATATGCCACGTCCCCAGCGGCCGGCCCCCGCACGCGTCCGCGCCGCCGCCGCTGCCAGCCTCCCGCTGCGGCGGCGGCGGCGCTGCGTGCCGCAGGACCCAGGCCCAGGCAGCCCTCAGCAGCTGCAGCTGGCGCAGCGGCCCTGAAGCAGCGATGTGCGGCGACGCGCACAGCCGCGCGCACACCGCGCCCGCGCCGCCGAGCGCCTCTCCGAGCGCGACCGCCGCGGCCGCGGCGTCGGCAGGGGCGTATGCTGCCGCAGGGTCCCCCAGCGCCCGCTCCTCCTCGGCGGCGGACGGCACCAGGCCTGTCGCGGGCGGCGCGGAGCGCGCCCGTGTTGCGTACGTCGCAGGGCGCGGCGCACTGCTTGGGGCGGCGGCTCACATGCAACAATCTGGGACGCCATGCGGACATGCCTCAGAATCCAGGGCCGACACAGCACATAAATTATGGCAGATCCGGCACCGCGATGCAGCCGTGGCGGCTACGCTGCCTTGAGGGGAGGGAAGGGAAGGCCGGCGCACCTGCCGCAGTCGGGGGGACGGCGCCGCCGCCGTCGTCCAGTTCGCCGCCTGGGAAGCACCGCCGCCGGATCGCTGCTAGCCCCTCCGCCCCCTCCCCCTGCAGGCTCGCCGCCGCCAGCCGCTCGGCCGCGGTGACCGGGGCGCCGCCGAGGGAGCGCAGCTGGGGCAGGTGGCGCACCGTGTGCAGGCGGGCGCACATAGCCTGCGTGCGGCGCGGCGTGCCGCCGGCGGTTTTGTGTGAGTGGCGTTGCAAGGCGGCCTCCGCTTGTTCTCGCTCAGGGCCGTCCCCGCCCATCCCTCCTCTTCCGCTGCCCTGGTCCCTGCTCTTGAACATGCACGCCAAGCACAAGCTGCCCCCCAACCCACCCCACCGCCTGCCCCCAAGCCGTCCCCCTCATTACACCAACCTGCTCCAGTGCGTTGCCCCTGAGATCCAGATCGCTCAGCAGCGCCGCGCCCGCCACCGCCGCCACGTCTTCCAGGCGCCCGATCAGATTCCGCCCGACGTCCAGCGCCCGCAGGCGCGCCAAGCCCTCGAGCCCGCCCAGCACGCAGACGCGGTTGCGGGCCGCGGACAGCCGCTCGAGGCGCGAGAGCGCGCCCAGCGGCGCGAGGGTGCTGAGGCGGTTGCCGTCGAGCGCCAGCGTTCGCAGCGTCGGCGACAGCGCTGCGCGCATCCAGGCGGGTGCGCCGCGCGGGCGGGCGTCATTGCAGGGTTGCAAGCTAGCGGCGCATGGGGGTGGGCCACCAGCGGGCCCGCCGCAGCCCAGTGCATGCGCGGCCCGCGTTCGCGGCGCGGGCGGCCCCCCAAGGCCTGCGGCACGCCGCGTCGGCGGTCAAACCCCGCCGCCCAGCGGTCAAACACGCCGGAGCCGGCCAGGCGCTGCCCCTCCGTTGGGCCCCATCTCACCCTGCAGCCCATCGCAAGACTTGAGAAGGTTGTCCCTTATGCTGAGCTCCCGCAGCTGCACCAAGCCGGCCAGCCCGCGCCCCAGCCGCTCCACCTGCACCCACATGAGGCCGGCGCGCCCGCGGAGGGCCGGCTGTTGGGGTTCGCTCGCCGCAGCGCGGGCCCCGCCGCCGCGCCGCTGCAGCGGGGCGCGTCAGCGAGCCTCGGTCGGCGCCTGCGCCGCGGCCGCCGGGCCGCTTGCTCGGCCGTGCCGGCGGCAGCAGCGGCCCAGAGTGTGCGCCGCGCCACTGAACGCCCCACTGCAGCGCGCCCTGCTCCACAGCCCGCCCCGCCCGCCCTGCGCCCCCGTTCGTCCCTCCCCTTCACACTCTCGTTGGGAGGGCGCTCGTGAACGACCGCTGCCGCCGGCCCCGCGTCACCTGGTTGCCGTCCAGCACAAGCCGCTCCAACCGCGTGAACGCCGCCAGGCCCGACCCCACTGGCAGCTGCCGGATCCTGTTGCGCCCAAAGTCCGCCTCCCGCAGGCCGCCCGCCGCCGGCGGCGCCCCAGCGCCCGCTCCCGCCGCCGCTGCCTTCGCCGCTCCCGCCGCGGCTCGATCCTGCCAGGGCGCAGCGGTCGGCTGGGGGCCGCTCCCGAGGTCCAGGAGCCGAGTCAGCTCGTTGCCTGAGACGTCGAGTGTCGTGAGAGCGCGCAGCCCCCCGAGCCCTGCCAGGCAGGTGAGGCGGTTTTCTGGCAGCAGCACCTCCCGTACGTGCGCGCAGCGCGCCAGGGGTGCGGCGTCGGAGAGCTCGGTGCCAGCGATGGTGAGGCGCAGGAACGCGGGGCGCGCGCCGTCGGCGGCGGGGCCGAGGCAGGACAGGCCCTCGGCGATCTGCATGGGGAAGAGGGCGCGCGCGGCGCGCATGCGACCGTTGCTGCGCGCGCTCGTTGCCGGTGCATGCGGGAATGGCTTGAGCAGGCATGCATGCATGCGAGCTGCCTGCCGCTTGCGGCGCAAGCACCCGTCTGCCATGCGGGCGGACCCACCAAGGAGTCGTCCCATGGCCGCTTGCGCGGCTCCCCTCCGCCGCTGCTGCTGAGACCGCTGGACTTAGAGGCCGCGTCTGCATCCCCAACGCCGATCAGAGAGCCGTCGCTGCCTTCTTGATCGCCGTTGGCGCCGATAAGCACGGGCTGCTGCGCGCAAGCTTTGCCCCGCGCGCATCCTTCTGCAGCAGCGCCGCCTTCAAGAGGGACGAGCCCATCAAGAGCGGCACCATTTGCGCACGTCATATTGTAACAATATATTGTAGTCTCTAGCAGCACCATGCGGACATGCGTGGAACGGGGCTCAGAGTCCAGGTAAAAGTTCGATTACTGGTCGTTGATCGAAGACGCCCGGCTATGATATGTGTGATATTCATTTTGAAACTACGTTATGCGCCGTCTTTGCCATCAGCCGGCCGCCTCTGATGTGCGCCGCCCGGCAGCATGGCTACGGACAGGGTTGGATGGTTGACCTTGGTCAACGGGAGGTGAGAGGCGTACTGTCCCCTCAGGTGTGGAGTAAGTTGTTGCATGGTTGAGGCCAGCAGCCAAGCACTGCCCTGCTGAACAATATGAAATCAATGTTGAATTTCATTGGCTACAGCACAACCCAAAGGTTGGCGATGGTCTTGACGCCCGTCTGACCGTCGGCCGCAATTCAGAGCGCAGCCGAGCCATTACTATTGAGTTGATTTGCAGTCCTGCGCTGCAGGCTAACACTCATCAGCCCTTCAGGCGCTGGCGTGTTCCAGGTGCTCTAGAGCGCACTCGACCCCATGGTTTGCCGCCTCCGTCCCACCGTGTGAATTCGATACAACGCGTACTGCTCGGTTACAGCCACATGTGCTGCAACAAGCAGAGCTGCCCGCTGCCACGGGCGTCAAGGATGGACGGCAAGCCGAGGGCCATCCCGGCCGTGAAACGCTGCCGCCAAGGAACAAAGACAAGCTGCAAACGGCATGCCGAGAGCATGAAAGAAAACAAAAAATCGTGTGGGTTGCTGGATTGGGGAGTAAGTCAAGTTGTGTCTATGCTACAAATGAAAGCCCACACTCGCACGTTTGCACACCACTTTGGATCGCAACGCCAGCACACACCCACTGGCCTACAACCGCCGCCGCTCTCGGGCGGCGCCGTCCCGCCAGCCGCGCCCCACCGCTGCTGCCCTGCGCCCGGCCGGCGGCGGCGGCGCCGCCCAGCCGCCGCCGCCGCGGCCGCACCCGCCGCCGCCTTGTCAGCAACTGAATCACCAGTCGAAGAAGTCGGGCCCCGCCTTGGCCTTGAGCTCCTCTCCCGCCTCCCGCCCCAGCCGCGCGCCCTCCTCGGCGTCAAAGGCCCCCACCCGCGTGGTCTCAAAGATCTTGCTGCCGTTGGGGCTGGCCACCAGGCCGCGGAAGTGGAGCTGGCCGTCGGCGCCCTTGTGGGCGTAGCCGGCGATGGGCGTCCTGCGGGGGCCGTCGGGGTCGGGTCTGAGGTTAACGTCGCACCGCATGCGGGCGCCGCGGCTCCCCGCCGGCGCGGGCGTTGCAAACAAGGCGAGCAGGGAGCGGACATACCGGGGCAAGGGAAGCATGCACGCAGGGGTGAGGGGGGAAGCTGCCGCGCACCTGCAGGAGCCGTCGAGGGCTGTGAGGAAGGCGCGCTCCGTGACAACGGCCACGCGCGTCTCCTCGTGGTTGAGCCCCGCCAGGTAGCGCGCCGCCGCGCTGTCGTCGGTGCGGCACGCGATGCCGATCGCGCCCTGTCGCGATGTGTATGTGTGTATGTATTATGTGTGTATGGATGCGTGTGTGGGTGTGTGTTACCTTAAGTTCGGATGAGTGCACCTTGCCCACGCGACTGTTAGCACGGGGCGAAGTAGGGGAGGGTGACACGTGGGTGACTGTCTGGCTGCACGCGCCGCCGGTCAAAGGTTGCAGCTCAGCATGTGCTGACTGGTCGCCCCTGTGCCGATGTCAGGACCACACACACACACACACACACACACACACACACACACCACACAGGTGCGCACACGCACACACACCGCCCACCTGCGACACCGCGGGCAGCATCTCCTCGTTGTCGAGGATCTTAGTAATGTGCTGAGTCATGTCCAGGCGCTTGAGGCCCGCGAGCGCCAGCAGGGTGGCGGAGCACTCCCCCTCCTGCAGCTTGCGCAGCCGCGTCTGCACGTTGCCGCGGAAGTTCACCACCTGGCGATGATTGAAGGGAGGCAGGGAGGAGGGTGGGTGGGGGAAAGTGCGGGCGTTGATGTCGGGGGAGAGTTGCGACCAACGTGGCCCGCGCTGGCTCCCGCACGCGACCCCGCCTCGCCGGTCCGCATCCTCCCCAGACATGGCCGCCCCAGGCGCGGCGCGGCGAGCTTGCATCATCCTACGCCATCGCCAGCTCCGCGCCGGACGACCGTCCCGTTCTCCATCCGCCCTCGCTACCCCAGCCGCATCCCCAGCCAACCCCCCTCGCCTCCCCTCGAAAAGCCCTCAAGCGACCCGACCCCAGCCGCCCGCCCGCCCACCAACCTTAAGGTGGGGGTACTTTGCCAGGATCTGCGCCTGGCGCCGCAGGCTGGCGCTGCCCACGATCGCGCCCTCTGGCAGCTCTGACAGGTCCTTGGCCACGGGGCTGATGAACACGTCGCGCACGTCCTCGCGCGGCAGGTTGCAGGGCAGGATGGTGCCCTCGGGGAGGTAGGTGGGCACGTCCTGTTTATTGTGTGTGTGTGTGGGGGGGGTGTGAGCAGGGGGAAGGGTAGTGTGTGTTTTTGTGTGTGTGTGTGTGTGTGTGTGTGTGTGTGTGTGTGTGTGTGTGTGTGTGTGTGTAGGTGTTCGGAGGTCTGGCAGGTGGTCCGGCGGGGGTGGCAGGGGTGTGCGATGGGTGCGCATGTGTGTGTGTGTGTGTGTGTGTGTGTGTGTGTGTGTGTGTGTGTGTGTGTGTGGTGTGTGGGGGAGAGAGGGTGGGCGCACGGCGCCGGTGCGCGCGTCCTTGGGAGGTTTGTTGAGGCGGAGGTGCCGGGGTGCGGAGAGGGCGCTCGGGCGTGCGTGCGCGCTGGGCCGCAGCGCCCCGCCTGTGAAACACGCCGCTGCCCAGGGGAGGCCAGGCGCCCGGCCGCACGCCGCCGCCGCCCGCTCCGCCTCCTCTCCTTCCACCAGCGCCGCGCCGCCAGCCCTCTGATCGCCGTCGGGGCCGCCGCCGCTGCGCCGGGCAGCCCCAACGTCGCGCGAAGCGCGTCCGCAACCCTGCAACCCCCCTGAAACACACACACACACACACACACACACACACACACACATGCGCGCACCTTCATGGAGTGCACCGCGATGTCGATGCGGCCGTCCAGCAGGGCGTCGTCGATCTCCTTTGTGAACAGCCCCTTGCCGCCGATGTCGGCCAGAGGCTGGTTGAGGATCTTGTCGCCGGTGGTCTTGATGATGACAATCTCAAGGGCACCCTCCTCGGCCAGCTCAGCAAAGTTGGCCTTTTGGGGTTTTGAATTTGAGGGGAGGGAGGAGGCTGAGGGGTGGGGGTGAGGAGGCGCCATGTACCGAGGCGGGCCCGCGTGCGGCGGTTGGGTGCGGCCCGCCGCGTGCGTGCCGAGCCTGCACGGAGCGGTGACGCTGCAGATGGCGCCGTGCGGCGCGCCGGCGTGGCTTGGCTGCAGGCCGTCCCCGCGCCCGCTCCTCCACCGCCCCCGCAGCTGCCGGAGCAAACGCGGAGCGCCGCCCCGGCCCCCGTGGCGCGCCCCCGCCGGGCACCTTGAGCAGGTCGCGGGTCATGTATGCCTGGGCGAGGGCCAGGGGGCTGCCGCGGGTGCCGATCTTGACCGTCTTGGTGGCCGTCGAGGCCTGGCAAACCATGCGGGCGCCGCGACGCACGACTGCGACGGGCCGCCCGGCGGCCCTTCGGGCGGGGGCCGGCAATGGAGGTGCGGTGCAGTGTTTCGGAGCGACATTAGACGCATTTTGGCGTTGGCGCCCAGTAAACACTATACACTAACGTGACCGAAAGCCGGGTGATCAGTGCTCGACCGCGAAGCACTTCATCAATGGGGACGTGGCAGAAACAAGATCGATATTGACACGAATCCATCGAAATACACCCCACCTCTGCTGCACGCCCCGCAGGGCGGACTGCCGCTGCTGGAGAGCCTGCATCTCTGCTGTGCTGCTGCGGTGCTGCTGGAACGATTGAAAAGAGGAATATAGATGCGTGTTGAAGCAACAGAGTTTACGTGTTAGCCATGATCTCTGGGGCCCGGCCATTGTGTCCTCCCCGTCATCTGCCGAAGTCAAGCGGGCAGCAGCAGCGTTGAGCAGTGACAAGGCCAACATGTGCTGTCGCCGTCGCGTCGAGCTCCACACATGCAGAGCACTGAAGCCAGCCTAGGGAACATCGAGGCATGGGACAAGCCACCGGAGGCGGTCAACAGATTGGTACTAGATTGTTTGGGACACCCGCCCCCAAGGGGTGGAGTAGGAGCACAGCGCCCGCTGGCGAGCAGAATGCCTTTGTGTCGCATGATTGTGCGCATTTGCATCCTACAGGGCATGAATGCTGACGGCCCAGCTGAATGAATTTACTCTAGGCTGCGCCAGCGGCTGGGTGTTGATGGATGCGGGCCGACAACAGACCTGCACGCAAAGGAACTAGGGGGGCGCTACTTGCACACCAGGGTGTGCCCGTGCCTGCCTTGGTGGGCCTGACCATCAGGTCAAACGAGCACCTGTCCAAGGCCCCTCCTGCACCCGCCCAAGGCACGTTCGTTCCAGCCAGCCGCTCCGCCCAGGCCATGCCGCTGCCAGCCCAGTGAGACTTTGACTTCCGCCAATGTGTGGCTGAACGACGCAAATGAGGCCGCTCCCTGATCACAGAGCACGAGACACTGGGCTGGTCGTGTCAACCATACACGCGTGTGTGGCTCGACACAGTAGGCTGGCCCCTGCGCAGCTCGGCCGCTGTCCGTTGCTATCCGTCCCTTGTTTCTAGCCAGTGCAATACTTATGTGACAGGTCAACTCTGACAGGCGTCGCATGGCATTGCCGTGGTGCTTCAACTGCTTGCACCGACCTGGCACCGACGATTGCCTGCGTACCCGCTCGACAACCAACCGTCATTACCAACCGCATGACGCCGTGCTAGCTCGCGCACCTCACAAGGAGCGTCTCAACACTGCACCCGGAGTAATTGATTGGCAAAATCCCGGGATTGCTCAAACACAAGAGCATCGGGCAAACACATGTGCGATTGGCCCGTGCACGGCGCACGCATCGGCCGCTCCGCTGCTCCCGCTTTGTGGGCATGCTGACCCAGCACGGCGGCAGCATCCGGGGCAGAGTCATCTGGCATCAGCCCTGTCGCCTCCGCATAGAACACAGTGGTCGCGCGGTACAGTAACGCGCGCATCCGATCGTTCTCTGCGAGGTTCCAGCAGGCTGGATTGCGCGCCCTGGGCTGATGCACCGGCCAGCGGTCTATAGTGGCCTGTAGCACCTGGAAACGGCAGTCATGGAAGTGGCATCCTACTTCCCAACTGCCGGGCCCGCGTCCTGCCCCGGGGGCCCAGTGCGAACGCTCTCCATCGATTTGCCCAGTGGGCATGCCTCAAGGCCGTCGCGCCGCAGCAAGCAAGGCGTGGCAGAGGCATTCCTGCAGCGTTTGCATGAGAAGGGGGACGTGGAGCTAACAGAGCACCTGGTGGAGACTGTGTGCCAGCACTTCGAGCGGCTGCCCACGCGGTATGCTCTCGACGTCAACATAGAGAGCCTCGATGTCCTCAGTCATAAGCGCCTGCTCGAGGAGGCGCGCGCGGACCCGGCCACGGTGTCGTTCGCCGTGCGCCCCGTCGAGGTGCTGCACGTGCTGCGCGACGCCGACAACCTGCCGTCGCCGGCCTTCCCCGAGGTGCGCCGCTCCCCTTCCCGCATGACGCCACGACGCGGCCCCGTCAGCCGCCTTGGGAACGAGCGCCACTGCGCAGGCATGCGGCCGGAGGCGCAGTGTGGGCCCGAGACTTCTGGCGTTCCTTCCAGTCTGGGTCACCCCGCCGTGGCTGCAGCAGGTGTCCCCGAAACCTTCTCGCCCATATATGCGCCCCGCCCTGCCCCGCCGCCGTCCCCTCCCATGCAGCCCTCCCCGCGGCGGGGCCACCCGGTGCCGCCATCCGCGCGGTCCCGGCCGCTGCCCAAGCCGGCGTTCGGCTCCTCGCCAAACTTGCAGGTGCGGCCGCGGCCCAGCCGCCGCTTGGGCCCAGCCGCCGGGCCTCCGCCCGCGCGCCCCGCCTCGCCAGCAGCATCGCCGCCCCTCTGCCCGCCCCCGCCGCCCGTCGCCGAGCAGCCGCAGGCCGCCGCGCCGCGAACGACGGGTCATCACCTCCCACGCCCCCATGCGCCGCCGCCCGCCATGCGCAACGCCGCGCCGCCCCGCCTGACCACACAACACCACTCCTGCTGTCAGGCTTTGGCCTTGGAGGTGGGCGAGCAGCGGCAGGACGCGTCGCACGCGTCCCTGGAGGGCGCCAGCATGGCGGGGGAGGCCGGTGCCCCGGACAGCACCTTTTACGAGGTCACCATCGCCACCGTGGACCAGCCCAAGCTGCTCAGCCGCCTGTCGGACGCGATGGTGCGCGGCAGTGTGGCGGCCCACGCAACGTTTTCACGCGCGGGCGGTGGGGCGCAGCTGTGCAGCCTGACCCCCCACCGCCGCTCTCAGCAGCTGGTGCCTGCGCGGGTTGGTGGTGGGTTCGCGCGCCTCGACTGCCCTGCCTGACGCCATGTCATGTGTTCCTCTATTTTCTTTGCCCTCCCAGGGCGACCTCGGTTTGAACATTCGGGAGGCGCACGTGTTCAACACCGCGGACGGCTTTGCCCTGGACGTCTTTGTGGTGGACGGCTGGAGCGGGGAGGTGCGCGCTGCGCCGCACGCGCGTGGCGCCTGTCCGTGTGCTGCCGCCGGTGTGCTTGGACGCGCGACGCGGCTGCAGCGCTGGGCGCGCCGCTGTGCTGCGGGGGGGTGCTAAGGTGCGGGCCGGCGTCGCGTGGTTGAGGCAGATGCAGCGTGTCGGCGCGGGCGATCGCAATCGCTTTGCCGCAGCACTTGATACGGTTCTGCCCAACTGCACGCGGTTGTCTCCGGCCTACCCATGTGCGTTGTTGCCAGGTGGGCGAGAGCTTAGAGGAGCAGCTCGGCCAGCGGCTGCTGCGCATGCCGCCGCCCTTCGTCCCCGACCGCCAGCGCAGCGGCCACCTCAGCAGCAGCGGCGCCGGCAGCGGGCCCCCGTCCGGCCCCTACGGCGCCGCGGGCGGGTGGGGCGGCGGCGCGCTGCCCTCGGACCCGCCGCCGGCGGGGTTCCACAGCGGCGGCGGGCTCGCGGGGCCGAGCGGCGGCGGGCTGGGGCCCGCGGCGTGGAACGTCAGCATGCCAGGCGGTTCGCCGGCGCCTGATGATTGGGAGATTGATATCAATCAGCTGCACATAGACTCGAAGGTCGCAGTCGGTGAGGGCGGCTGCGTGGTGTGTGGGTGTGTGCATGTGTGTGTGCGTGTGTGTGTGTATGTGTACATATGTGAGAGTGTGTGTGTGATATCTGGCAGGGCGATGCAGAGTTGGAAGTCTACAGCTGGAACGCAGCGCGGCATGCAGGGCCCGATGCAGTGGCGCGAGGGCGCCAGGCGGACGGCCGCGCGGGTCGCGGACCGCTGCAGGCTGTTCGAGCAACGCGCTCTCGCCTTGACATCTCCGCGGGCCCCTATACTTGAATCCAAACCCAGGGTCGTTCAGCAATCTGTACAAGGGGTTCTACTGCGGGCAGGAGGTGGCTGTGAAGATACTCAAGGACCTGGGCGACGACGCGGCGCAGTACAACGAATTCCTGCAGGAGGTGGCCATAATGCGCAAGGTGGGGGAGGTGCCGCCTTGTTTTGATTTGAAGGGAAGTGAGGCGGAGGATCGCAGGTCGAGGCGGCCGGAGCGCGTGCAGGTGCAAGCGCAGCGGGGTCGCGTGCATGCGAGTACATGCGCA